TAAGGCTTGTTGTTGTTGGACATTCATCCTGCCCATGTGATTCAGTTTTGTAATTGTCACAAGTCATTGTCATATAATGCCATCATGACAATGGGGTGCTAGATGAAAACACATTCATATGGGTCATGCTGAAAGCTAATAACAAATGACCTGTTTTGTTATGCTAGGTTAGAGAGCCTGTTATAAATATTAGGTGTGGGCGATATAGCTTCAAAATTATGTCACGATATTTCAAGGAAATTTTCAATAATGACATTTATGGCAATACAGGAAAAATTCAAAATGTTTTATTGGTGATTGCAACTTGCAAGCAACAGCATTTATTAGTGCAAACAAATTGAAGGGCATTTTCCATTCTTCTTTTCCTTTGCACTACTGTCATTACAAGTTTTGTTTTTTGATGGTAAATGAAACCTACAAATATTAATATACAGACAATGGCCAAAGCATGACAGTCTGGTCAAGTTATTGAGAGTGATGGCTTTAAAAACAGTGGCCACACTGTCTGTTGTCACACATGCTTGTTTGTCCTCTTCTAGATACCACAAGTTAAGAAACTCACTCAAACCACTTGCAATATTTTCACCCATGTGATTCTTGGGAGGTATGTATCTTCCAGTCACTGTAGTAGGGGTGTGACGTAGTGATGTCCAATTGACACAATGACACCTGTATCGAACCACCTCATTATTTGTATCGAGTATTGGTTCATTCATTCAAAGGTTTGGTTTAGTTCTATCTGGTGGCGAAATAGTATGCAGCAGGACAATGTCTGAATTATGTGATGGGTGTAACTAGGCTTTGTGTGAATGATGTGAAAACGTAAAGATTGATTGGTCAGTCGGTCGAATCTATGAATGTATGTAGTGTAGTAGGTGGGAGAAGGCGTACTTGGGGAAACAGAGGATGTGCTAGGATGATAATATGTGCGTATGTAACTAGGACAGGGTGTGAATACAAGGGATGGAGAATCAATCACTTTTATTCAAGAACAAAAGTTTCTCCGCTGTCTTTGGACTGAGCCGGTTTCGTCTCTTGCTGACGACCTCTCCAGCCTAGGAGAACACACGCTCACATGGCACCGATGAGGCTGGTGTACACAGGTACTGCTGTGCCAGTGAAAACAAATGTGGGTACACGTGTCTGTGCCCATCCCAGTAGGTCAGCAGATCATCACATCTTCTCAGGGGAGGACCTGTCAGGTATTGCTGGACCTCTACAGAGGCATCAGCTGTGGAATTCCTGTGTGTCCGTGCCAGTGTGACTTGGCCATCAAGACTTTGCCACAGGTTGAAGGCTGCAAGAGAGAGAAACATGACACTAATGAGCACCGTCAGGTGTCAATGTGTATAATTTGTTTACGTATTGTCTCGTGTACAGCAATAAATACATATCTATAACATCACCTGTGGTGGATGGAGTTTGTTCATGTGGTGCTGCTGGTTGAGGAGGGGCTGATGTAGCAGGCTCATCTGTAGATGTGCCCAGTGTGTGCCTCAGCATTGCAGACGTATTATTATTATTATTATTATACGTCAATTGCTGGGGACACAGCAAATATTGGACCTGTGATATGTAGACACAGATTGTGGGATACATATCTATAATGCTGCTTACTGTTGACATCATATTCATCATGGCTATTTGATGACTACTGCACTGGCCATACTGGCAGTATTAGCCATCTATGCAACGTTGCCTGGGTTACATAAAGGTGCAATAGCATAACCACGTCATATTATGGCACATACCTTCTTTGGACCAATCAGCTGAAAGTGTTCCCACAGAGAACGGGGTGTCTTCCTAGCTTGCCCCATGGTGATCACACACCAGCAGCAATGATTATACCGACAGCAACTACGCACACACCTACTACGCCTACAAACCGACATGTTGTGAATCATCTTGGGTGGCTTTATAGTACCCCTACACCTACTCACCTGCTGACATGCGCAGAGATCTCATGTCGTGACACTGTACCGACGGTTTGAACCGGTCACGGGAGTCACTCAAGCCAGCCATTTCTGCGTCGGACGTCGTCAGTCTTTTCGGCAATGATACAAACCTCGAAGCAATGGTTCGCGGAAGATCCCTCTCCGAGCTCGAATCATGTATCAAGGCCTCGGTGTCTGCTGGCCAACACTAGTGTCACGATGCACTTCGCTCTGAGATGAGATGATACATGATACCAGTTTTACAAGAATGAAATGAGCCGATATTTTAACACTATTTTTAAGAAATTCTTATTGATAAAATATATCACTGGAAAAATTGTCTCTTATGTGACTGAAAGTCACAAAATGCAAAAGAATGCAGGTGCATTTTGAAAGTATGACCTGTCATATGCAGTAAAAGACAACAATATACAAGCACTGTTAAAGGTTTTGCCACAAACTCAGCTGACTGGCTTCTCTCCTGTATGATTTCACGAGTCTCTTCAGACCTTAAAACTCTGCACGAAGCAGTGTGTGACCATCTCTGCTAGTTTCACCCTTACCGCACTGCACTGGAGGTGACATCATCTGTCAAAGGCGATACGTTGACAATCATGTAAGGGGGACGATCAGGACACAGACGCCAACAGGAAGAAGACTCGTTTATTTACCTTGTTAACATGAGCATTCACTGCTATTTACTGTTGAGTTTGGGCCATAGTTAAAGCACCATAACGACAGGCCATGCATTTTGGTCAGTACTGGATGTTAAATGGTGTTTTAATCTATGGTAGTCAGTGCTAAGGTAGAGTAGGCTACATCAGCAGCAAAGCTCAACAGAAACTCATGGTATGGAAACATGAATGAAGCCACTCAGGTTGAC